AGTGGCAAGATTAGGAGGCATAGCCTTGTTGGAATAGATGTAGATTTTTGGAGGAAGTATGTCACTGGGGGTGGGCTTTGAGGTTTCAGATGTTCAAGCCAGGCCCAGTGTCACTCTCTCTTCCTGCTGCTGCAGATCCAGATGTAGAACTCTCAGCTACTATGCAGTATCATGTCCACCATGCTTCTTCCTGTCATGATAATAACGGACTAATAATGAACTGTAAGCCAGCCCCAGCTAAGTGTTTTCCTTTATAAGAGTTGCCATGATGTCTCTTCACAGCAATAGAGCACTATCTGAGGCATCTGTCAACAAGAGAATGGAAAACACTTTTTTATAAATTCATAAAGCCACACAATGGAATACTACTCCACAATAAAAAAGAATACATTGACACATTCAACAATGTAGATGAATGATGTGGGATTCCCCTCTGTATGCTGTGAATATGCTTTATTACTATTGGTTAATAAAGAATCTGCTTTGGGCCTATGGCAGTGCAGAATAGAGCAAGGTAGGAATTCCATGCAGAGATAGAGGAGAAAAGAAGGCAGAGTCAGGAAGACACCGTGTAGCCACCAAAGGTGATAGATGCCTGGGAATCTTACTGGTAGGCCACAAGCCTTGTGGTAAAATGCAAAATAATAGGAATGGGTTAATTTAAGATGTAAGAGTTAGTTAAAAGAAGCCTGAGCAAATAGGCCAAACAGTGTTGTAATAAATGTAGCTTTGTGTGATTATTTCATATCTGGGAGGCCAGGAAATGAACAAGCAGCTTCTGCCTACAGATGAACCCAAATACCTGGACTAAAAGAAGATAGGCTTTTAAAAATTAGAAAAGGCTCTCCCCTCAAGGAATCTTTAGTGACAAAAATCAGATCAGTGGTTGCTGAGAGATTGGTGTTAGGTGAGAAACACTACAGTGACCAAATGGGGACTAGAAGTGGCTACTGCAGTGGTGAACACATGTCTGACATGCATGAAACCTTGGTTCAGATGGAAGACCACCCCTCAAAACCTTCAAAGGGGTAGAAAGAATTTTTTTTTTTTTTTTTTGGTTTTTGAGACAGGGTTTCTCCGTAGCTTTTTTGGTTCCTGTCCTGGAACTAGCTCTTGTAGACCAGGCTGGCCTCGAGCTCACAGAGATCTGCCTGCCTCTGCCTCCCAGGTGCTGGGATTAAAGGCGTGCGCCACCACCGCCCGGCTTAGAAAGAAATTTTTTAGGGTGCTAGCTATGTTCATTGTCTTAGTTGATGATTTCATGGACATGAATATAATGTGAAGACTTTTCAAATTGTATACATTATCCATATGTAGTATACTGTTGGTCAACTATACTTCAATAAAGTTATGGGAAAAGATATAGCGAGTCTATTATTATTGTTATTATTATTATTATTATTATTATTATTATTATTATTATGGTTTTTCAAGACAAGGTTTCAAGACAGTTCCTGGCTGTCCTGGAACTCACTCTGTAGACCGGGGTGGTCTCAAATTCACAGAGATCTACCTTCCTCCGCCTCCCTAAGTGCTGGGATTGAAGGAGTACACCATCACCACCTGACTGCAAGTTTATTTTGAAAGACTAATTGTTGTGCCTTACTGAGCATGGAAGTCAGAAAAATCACTCTATATAGATTGTATAAAAAATTTTTAAGTAGGGCCAGTATCCTTTTTATAGTGAGTACAGCAAAGATTGGAATAAAGAAGAGATTACAGGACCAAGATAACATAAGGTGATAATTAAAATAGTATCATCAATGACAAGTCTAGACAGTTACTGCTTAGCGCATCAGCTTTCTTCTTAACTTCACATAAGTATGGCGAATTAACTAGAATACAAAACAAAATAAGACCACTCTCTTATCAGTAAGTCCTACCCGAAACATATATTAGTCACTGTACTATTGCTGTGAAGAGACGTCATGACCTTGTGCAACTTTTATGAAAGAAAGTATTTAACGGGGGAGGAGGGCTTGATTACAGTTTCAGGGGCTCAGTCCATCACCATCATGGCGGGGAGTGTGGTGGTATACATGGTGCTGGAGAAATATCTGGGAATTACATTGTGAGCCATAGGCTGAGAGAAAGAGAGACAGAGAGAGACGCTGGGCCTGGCATGGACTTTTGAAACCTCAAAGTCCACCTCCAGTGACACACTTTTTCTAACAAAGCCACACCTCCTAATTGTTCTAATTCTTTCATATAGAGCCACTCCCTGGTGACCAAGCATTCAAATATCTGAGGCTATGGGGCTTTCTTATCTAAATCACCACATGAGGATTACCCACCATCTGTCATTAGTATTCTATAGCATGACAGGGAGACCTTTTTCTTATATATAAAAAAAGTGTCAAAATGTTTGTAGGAAATCATATATATATAGATAGATAATAAGTTATAGAAGAAGCCTCCAAGTTTATAAAAATGGATTATTTTATAACGCTGTAGTTTGTGATGAGTATTCAGATCTCCACAGCTCAGGAATTTTCCAGGGATAACTTGAGATCGAGTGCAGTCCCAGTATATACAGTTCTGTAGTGAAGCTCAGACGTACTTACCTTTTGAAATGTATTTTTTTTCTAGGCAGGTACGTCCGAGGTCACCAAACATCTGGACAGGACTGTGGGAAGACTGAGGGAAGACTGTGAGCGGCTGTGGATGGTGAACATTATCAGCTTCCTGAGTGTAGGTGATGAAACTGCGCAGTTGACAAAGCTGACTGCATTCTTTACAGAGGAGGAAGCAAAGACCCAGAGGCAGCAAGTGAGTCGCACAAGAACTACAGAGCGAGTCGTGAAAATGGCTAGACTTCACACTTCTCAGGACCACTCTACTGCTTTCCCGCGGCGCATGGAACTGCCTTCAGTTCTCAGTGTAGAGCAGAGAGGAGCTAGTTATCCACAGTTAAAATCCAGGGGAATGAAGGTCGCAGCAGCGCCTCTCAAACCATGGTCTTGAGAGAGGAGAATAGAGGAAGTCTATCCATCACAGCAAGAATAATAACCCTTTCCCCCGCCATGCCGTGTTAAATCAGCCAGTTAGCCCCAGTGTGAGGGTCTCTGTGGAAGCTGTTTGTTGCGCACATAGCTGGAGACTGAAGTAGGATTCATAATAAGAAAAATATAACCAGAGCTACAGGTCCATTCATCAGACTTCGTGGTGGTTTGAATATAATTAGCCGCCATGAGCTCATAGAGAGGGGCACTATAGGAGGTGTGGCTTTCTTGGAGTGGGTAGGGTTTTGTTGGAAAAAGTGTAAGCGAGTCACCTCAACTAAATGTTACCTTTGGGAGAATTGCCATGGTCATGGCGCCACCTCACAGCAATAGAAACCCTAACTAAGACAGATCTCATTTCTCAGTTCTGATTGACCCCACAAGACTCTTCCTCCACACAGATGCAAACCTCAGCTTATCCACTAAATTCTTGACATTTTGAGAGAGCATCTTCGTGTTTGGGTTTACTTGGGTTTGCGTTGGCAATCATGCAGGGCAAGATTCCTGGCAGACAAAGCCTTTCTTCCATCCAAGTTAGAATCAGGTTTGTCTCTTGTCTCTGACATTGTTTCCAATGCCTACCAGTTCCATCCACCTAAACACAAACAACAACTCCCCCCAAATTCCCAGATACATTATGTGTTCTCTTCATTGCAGAGGTGAGTCCATTTAAACTCGGAGAGAAAAGATCATGTTCAATAGTATTAATTTATCATAATTTATCCTTTGGTTAGTTCACAGCTGCATTCTGCAGCAAGAGAAAGCCATCAAGACAAGATTTAGGTGGGCAGGGACAGTTGGCTGTACAGAAAATATTCTTAGCACTTAATACAGATAAGTAGCCTCAAGGCTTACACACATCCACCTGTTCCGCATATACTGAGAGTTGCTTTGCTTTTTGAAAACAATTTACTCATTTTATATGTATGAATGTTCTGTCTGTATGCATGTCTGTGTGCCACCACGTGCATGCCTGGTGCTCACAGATCAAAAGACAGTGTTGGAACCCCTGGGACTGGAATACCGATGGTTGTGAACTGCCATGTGGGTCCTGCGAACAGAACCTAGGTCTTCTTCAAGAACAGACGATGCTCTTAATACCGAGCCATCCCTCCAGCCCTCTGAGAGCCTTTGTTGTGTGTGGTACCTCCATGAATCTGCACAAACGTTAAGAACGGAAGGAAGGATAATGTGTGTGATTATAATAACGCAAGGTGGCATATGCTAGCACAGCAGCGGGAGCAAGCTGCACTGGAGCAGGGAGGACTCATGCATTGCTGTGGCAGGGGACAGTCTTCTAAATCAGCTCCCCAAGCTCCCTGCTTCCTGTGCGCACACACTTGGATAAGTCTCTCCTTCTAAGCACGAACTGGACACAGAGTCTAAAAGACTACGACTGCTTCTACTCTTGCTCTTGCTCTCTGGCTCTCCCCTAGCTGCCTCTCATGGGAACTCTGAAGCAGACTGGGATGTAGGACCCGAGTTCCAAGGAAAGGACTATTGTGCATGAACTTGACTGTGCAATCCTCTTCTCACAGCTGTGCCGATGCCTGAGCAGAGAGGAAGGCTTCACTCTGGCTCAGTTTGAAAGCTCATCACAGTGAGAAGGCACAGTGGTGGGAAACTGAGTCCATGCCAGCAGGAGCATCAGCTGGCTGGCTCATGTCGCTAGTCCAGGAAGCAAAGAGAGGGCAGCAAGTAGGGCTGGGTTACAAACCTTAAGGCCCACCCCCAGACCTATTTCCTCTAGGTAAGACCTAACTCCCAAAAGTCCACAAGACCCCAGAACGGCAGAATCAGGGGGAGACCAAATGTTCAACGACACAAGCCCGTGAGAGGTATTTCACACTAAAATCATGACACTGACCAGCTTAAATGAGACCATTTGAAACAAAGACAGCCCACAGGGTGACATATATACTCCTGTGTCCATTATGGATTATGATGTAATTTAATTTTTACACAAGCGGTATTCCTATGGAAATAAAGGAACAGAGGAACTTTCTAAATGCTTTATTTGGGGTACAATAGTTCTTAATGTCTCAGGTTCTCCTTGCTGGGAAGATGAGAGCTGGTAATATGTTTGTTAAAGGCACGCAAAGATATGTGTTGATGTGAGAGGTAAGAACACACTTCCAAATACGTTATTAATAAATTAAGGTTGTAGTAGTTGTTGTATTAGAGAAAATAAATGGATTAGTCTTAGCAACAAAAAGTTAGTTTGAAGTAGACAAGCTAGGGGCATCAAAGCGGGAAAAACATTAGCTTCAGACAACACCCCACTATACACAACTCTCTGATGAACAATATGCAACTACAGAATGTCATACCTCACCTAGCACCTGACACCTTTAGTCTCCAGATCTGAAAACCAAACTTTTACCAAGTTTGAAAATGTTTAGAAGTCAACATGATGCCCCCAGGGGACAATGCCACACTAGGAATCTTTATCTCGCGTGCAAAGTTATTTTTAAAATGTTGTATGAAATTACTTCCAGGCTGGGTGTACGGGTGTACGTGAAACATAAATAGATCTCATATTCAGACTGGGTCTTCTAATATATCATGATGTAGATGCAAGTGTGGCAGACTTCAAACATAATCTGAAATTCTTAATACTGTTGGTACCAAGCGTTCAGGTAAAAGGTTCTCAGACTGTAGCAGATCATCTGACTTTTCTTTTGAAACTTTATTACCTTTCAACATAGTTGTTTTTTTCAGAATGGGTTCTGTAACAGCTAAACATGGAAATGTGCGTTTTTGTTTCTTTCATTCTGTGTTTGTGAGGGTGGGCAGGTTCTGGTATTGGACCGGGAGCTTTGTGCATGCCAGGCAAAGGCTCTACCACAGACATCTTCCCCCCCACCCCCGGGCCCCTCTGGTTTTGGTTTCTTACAAAAGTGTATTTGTTTATAGAGAACAGCAGCAACCAAAGAGAGATAAGAAAGCGTTTCTGTGTTCTGAGACCTGATTCGGGTATGTGGAGCGGCTCCCGGCCTGGCCCAGGCTTTATTTACAGTCTGCCAACAAGGCTGCTATCAGTACCCAGCCTCCCTGCTAGGGCTCTGTTTATTTGGGGTTCCCAAAGATTAGGTCTCAAGTCACCTGGCTCTCCATGACCTCCTGTTTCTTTCCTTATTTTACTTGTGCCTCGTATTTCCCTGTAGGAAGATTTTGGACTATGGGGCTGCCGGTGTCTCAGGGACTCCAGCCTTCACCTGGTGTCCGGCAGCCTGGAGGCCTGTGTATGAATGTGAGCTGAGGAGCTGTTTTAGGGCCTGGCGCTTTGAAAGCTCCCTCTCTGTGTGTCTGGGAGACAGACAGGCTAGGGAGGCCGTGGAAATGTTGGAGGTAGGAGAGTGGAGTCCGGAGAAGATTGCAATAAGGAGAGGCCTCCGTAAGGAGGACTCCACAGTCTTTTACTATCTAGGAACCAACAATAGCTTGCTTTTTTGGTTGCCTGGCAAGAAACTTGCCTCAGGTGGAGCTTCTCAGCTCTCGCTCCTCTAAACTTCAGCTTCTAAGCACCGCACAGCAGTTCTGGGTGGACTTTTGGGCTCCTCTGGGTTTTTATCAGTTTTCTTTGATTCTTCATTAGAGTTGATGTCATCGGCTTTCTCTTCCTTTACAACCTTGGTTTCGATCATTTCCTTCTTTGGACTCTTGTTTGTGAAAGGGAAGGCCTTCACATACCTGTCAGTGCAGACATTTATCACAATGAGAGACTTCAGGTGACACACGTCACAGCAAATAGCACTCTGTCTACCACAGGACAGGCTGGTACAGCCCCCTAGGCATTTTTATTTTGATGTTAATACAGGCATACTTGAATATATCACTCATCCATATTAGTGGGTTCATCCATGTGAGATAGTACCTACAGGACCAACTCTGGATGTCTTCCCAACTCCTTCATTCCCAGACGAAGACCCCCAACTCAAATTCAGCCTAAGATTTTCCCCAGTGTTGACCTATCCTTTTTCATTTCTTCAGCTTGGTGCCCATTAATCAATATCTACTGTATATCTAGATGACGCACTTGTGCTGAGGTCTCAGGGTAGGGAGGTCTGAGAGGGGTTGCCGTCTCCATTTTGACCAAATGCCAGTAACAACTCTGGAAGAGCACTAGCTAGGTGCAAAGATCACAAGATCAGAGATGTGCCAACAGACTCACCTTTTCACGTAGCAGACCGCCAGGACCGCTGCGGCGCCAAAGAAGAGGAGGGCCAGCACCAGCAGGGTTGTGGGGACACCTGGGGGGGAGACAGGTTTGTCAGTCTTGTGCCTGTACACTGTGTTGTCTGCGCACGCAATGACTGCTTTTTACATGTGACACGGATAAAAGAGTGCAGAAGCCCCTTCTCTGCGACTGTTTTTAATCATACACGTAGAATCTTATTTTTCACATTGTGTGTGTGTCTGTAGGTGTGTGTGTGGTATGTGTGTACATATGTGTATGTATGTGTGTGTGTGTGTAGACTTTAACACGACACCATCCACATGTGCAGGTCAGAGGACAGCTAGTCGGAGTCAGTTCTTCCATTGTGTGGGTCCCGGGAATTGAATTTATGCCACTGGGCTTTGACAGGAGGTGCTTTCACCCACCCAGTCCTCTCACCAGCCCTCTGTTTACAATGTGGGGAGTTCTTGACTTCTCCTTTATCTCTGCAATGTGGAAAAAGGTAGAACTTGTTTCTTGGCGCCCCAAGACCAGTCTCACAGGTCCTTGTGAGAAACAGGCATTTGGGTTAAAGTAATAGGCCATGTAGGTATATGTTTCTATGTCTATAGTAAAAGATAATTTATTTGTAAAAAACAGTAAAGCTCTTTAATGCTCATGATGACCTGACCCTTGCGGCTTTTTTCAAAGCCAGTGCTATGAGTCTATGGAAGCGGAGCTTGCGCTAAGCTTTTGACTTGTGCCCAGTAGGTGCTGGGTGCTCGGCACGGGGATGGGCTGGATGTTGTGTATGTTTGCCACACACAGTTGCCTGCCCAATAGACCCAGAAGACATTCACCTCCAAAGCCAACTGCTTCGTTCTTGAAGGCCGTTTCTCTTATAACAGGTGTCTCTGTTTCTGTAGCTACGGTGTTAGGTTCCGTATAAACTTCCGTCACACAAATCTTTTTTGTCTTCCGTACCATGGAGGTGGAAGGTGGAGCCCGAGTGGTAGCAGGAACATAAGTTGTGGAGTCCAGAGATGAAGCCGAGTCAGTGCTGCTACTGACAGGGAACTCCACTGTGGGTGTTTGAGTGTCAAGCATGGGGTCAAATGTAGTGATGGTTTCCGGAATGCACGAGTTAACCCAGGTGTCTGTTGGGAGAAGGAAAAGAAGTAAGCGTGGCAGCAGGACTCCACCAGAACTCAGGTCTCACCAAGATTCAAATCTAATCTCAATGTTGTTCCTTAGTACCTGCAGCACCCGCCTCCCCTGGACCGGCCTCGTCGACAGCACGGGGCTAGGAGACTCAAAAGCTCGAGTTCTCTCTCAATGGTCCCACTGTCCCGCTAGCCCTTCAGTTCTAGTTACAGTTTCTTAATCTCCCTGGCTTTCTCATGATACCTTTTCCATCTTTAAAACCTCTGTCTGATTCATAGACAAAATTTACTTGCTCAATCAGTTAGGAAGCGGCAGGGCTGCACAATATCTTACAACACAAATTGACATTTTAAACCCTGGTTATTTATTGCACTGGATGTCACTGGCCAGGACTGCAGTTATGCAAGAAATTATTTCAGTAAGTTGATTTTATTTTGAAAATTAAATTTTGTTTCCTTAGTCATTTCTCCCCCAGGCTCCAGACTTCTCTAGACTGGGTCTCTAGACACATATTCTGGTCCTTGCCTGATCATATCCTGATTCCCATCATTTTGTTCCCCTCTGGAATGACCGTGAACTGCCCGCAGCAGGACATTTGTCTGATTGGATTATTGTGCCTGGCATGCAGTATATGCTCAGTGAATGTCTGATAAAGAAGAAAGAAAGGAACAAATGAAAGAGAGAAAGGAGTAACTTGAGGGGGTGGGAGACCTACAATATCACTTAGAACAGGATCTAAAATAAAATCAGTGGGGAGAGAGAGAGAGAGAGAGAGAGAGAGAGAGAGAGAGAGAGAGAGAGAGAG